CCCAAAACCCCAAAACCCCAAAACCCCAAAACCCCTTTTGATAAAGAATTAAATTTAAATCCATGAAGTCAGACATCTCAAGTTTTGCAGAGAGCTATAATATCTCAGATTTTGATGAGAACATCCCGTTTAAGCAAGGCGAGAGTCAAAAGTTTACAAATGAAGTCACTGAAAATGGCACCCACCACAGGAAGAATTCAAGTCAGATTGTGTCAGGAGTACAGAGCAAAGGCTATAAAGAGAAAGCTCAAAAATAAGAGAGATAGTGACTATTCGGGCCATATTTGTGAAGATGAAGAAGCAAAAGGGCTTAAAAAGCCTTTTAAGTATAAGCAGCAGAGGAAGTCTTATTTTAAAGGCATTTCTGGGAATTTGTTAAATTTAATACAGAGTAGTAATTTGGAAAAAGAGCGAAAGGAAATAGAGGGAGGCCAGAGAGATTTTTCACCCGTGACAAGTAGTTTTGTGAGTATTCCAGATGAAGATTCTGATTATTGTCAGGCAAAGGAACAGGAAAAAGTTATCAAAGATAGTTTGGCTCCAAGTGTTGATTTTCCTAACAAAATTCAGAGAGAACCTTCTAAGCTTAAAAATAATGATCCAGGAGTTCTTAATGCTTTTATTGTGAATAAAAATGTTGAAAGAAATTATGATAACGAAAGAACACCTTATGATTGCCACAAGACAACTGCAAGCTTTATTCCTTCCCTCTGTCCAAATTCTAAGCATTTAACTAAATTCGATGCTATCTACCACCAGAAACCTCCAGAAAGGAAAGTATCCCAAAGGAAAGCAAGAGAGATTGGAGATAGATTGCATAAGAACCAATCTAGAGAAAGGAGCAGAGAAACTCAAAGAGTAGGAAGACTTCTTACAGAAAGCTCTGCTGAGAGAGAACAAAAGCAATGTACTTTCCAGCCAGATACTTCACTTTCAATGAAAAGAAATAATCAGATTTATAGCAAAATGAATTCAAGAAGCAGAAGCCGAGGAAGAAGACGTGATGCTAACAAAGCAATCAACTTAATGGAGCAGAACAAGCTCCTTCTTCAAGGATATAATGTGAAAGATTTTAATCATACCAATGACTCAAAGCATTATTCAAAAAGATCTCTCGATGGGGGGTTATTGCATGAACAACTTCAGACTTCAACAAGCCAGAGCTTACTTCTAAACTATAAGAACTCAATTAGATCCCCGGGAAAGAGGACTTTTAAGGAATTCTACAATCAACAAATGGCTCATATTGAGAAATAAAGCGAGTAAATTACAACATAATATCTACAAAAGGGAGAGAATTTATGAGGAAATGAAGAAGCAAAGAAACAGGGTTAAGCATCTTAGTAAGGAATCTAAGAGAATCTTATCAACTAGTAGAGAAAGGAAAAATCGCCAACTCTCTCGAACAGACTATTTACTTAAATCATTGAGAGGATCATCGCGTGATATGAGTGATGAATCTGTGCATGAGAGACTTTATAGCGGAAAAAGTTCTTCAAGAAATCTTACTATCAAAGACACTAAAATTTCTGGGCTTTCGAATCTAATAACTTCTTGGAGTAAGACAAGCAAGAGGAGTAAAGGAAAATTTACCAACAAGATAAAAGCCTATAAATCCTTCCAGGAGTTACCTTTGGTGGGTAGGAATGCTAAACTGTTGAAGGAATTTTCAGGAAATCAAAAGTTCTCTAAAGAAAGAAGAAAATCTTCAAAATCTAAAGAAAGGAGAAAATCTTCAAAATCTAAAGAAAGTCCCTTAGCAGTATCTATTTCGAACAAACTATACTCTGACGCTATTCAGAGAAAGAAGGTAAAGGGTAAAAAGCCCAAGATAGCCGCTCCAAAGAAGAGAGTCAGTACCAAATCTAATAAGCTGCTTTTTCAAAGATTCTTGGAGGACTTTGAGTTAGTGTCAAGAGTCAGGAAAATCAGAAAATCGAATGTCTCAATTCTGGACAAAAGATCTAAAACAAACATCAAAATCGATAAGGTTCTTGGCTACCAAGAAGTAGAAATGTTCTGAAAGGATCTCGGGTTCCTTTCCGAAGGATTTCAGAACAACGAAGAGAAGATACTATTCGTAGATCTATGGGCTTGCCTTCATGGAGATATTCATGGGGGTGTATCTCAAACTAATTTGAAGATCCTTCTAGCAGCCATACAAGGTTTTAAGATTGACATCTCAGCTGATAGAAAAATGAAAAATTATATGACCTCAGAGACCCATTCTCATGAGGAAGAGAAGTATAGCAGCAAGAGCTCGTGTCACAGTAATCATCTTACTGATAAACAAAAGCATGGAAATCATAATTATTCAGATTCAAGAGACACTACAAAGTTTATATGCTTCGAAGTTGGGGAGTTTATTAACGAAATCTTGCACCTTGACGACAAGGACATCAAGAGATGTCAAAAATATTTCATTCTGCTGTCAAGAAATCGTTCGAAGTTTTTAAAAGAAAGGAAAAGAGAAAGATATGATAGTCGGAAGAAGAACGATTCCCCATCTTATAAACCAAAGATTAATACACATTCTGAAACTCTAGTTAAAGGAATTTTAGACAACCTGAGCGAGAACAAGATCCCACATTATGAACTTCTTCTTTACAAAGGTAAAGAATATCAGAAAAACAAGGCAAAGCTTATAAAGCAGAAGGAGTTGCTTGAGATGAAATAACAGCAAGAAGTTATCTAAGAGGTGTCGGAAATACAAGCCTCTCCAGTATCAAAAGGAAACTATCATCGATTATTTAGACGAAGCTTATGAAGATGGCTCTGAAGTCCTTCTAAAACTAAGCTATGACATGTTAGAAAATGAGAATAATGTTGAAATCTCTAATACAGAGCTGTCAGAAATCCATGACGATGTAGTTTTAGAAGAAGATAACCAAAGGTCAGAAGACACTTTCTCCCAGAGATTACAGAATTTAGAGGATGAAGATATACTTCCCTCAGAGAAAGAGAAGGAGATTGAGCCAAATCGATACCCAATCTTGTACGTTGATATCAACCTTGGAGATAACCATATTGAAAGAATAACCATTTTTGAAGGTAAGTTATCTTAGATTTAAGCTTTTAGAGGATGATATTGAACAAGTAGCAAAGGAATTTGCAGAAACTCATAACCTTAATGACAAGATGTATGACAAATTACAGAGGATGTTGCAAAATCAGATGGCTGGGATTCTTAGTAGGATTAATGAAGAAGTTGAGGAGCTTGAAGGTAACTCTATTGAAAAATAAAATTCTATTTTTGAAGGTACAAGAGGGGTTTTGGGGTTTTGGGGTTTTGGGG